AGGGTACATGACTTACACAGTAAAATACAGAAAGGAGTTTCTATGCAGTTGAAGGAATATGATCAACATGATTGCATTATGGTTTGATTAAACGTCACTGTCCTTTACAATAATGTGAATACTAACACGCTGGCCAATATTATACCCATCTTGACGAACACAACGGACGAGTGGATAACATCTGAAAGCGGCTAAGAAATTGCAGCAAGGATATTTTAACGAAAATCACTGGCCTTGTGATGAATGGTACCATTTTCAAATTCGCGAACAATACCTTTCATTAGACGTACGGCATTCCAATAGGCTACGCAGTGAGTGTTGTTTTAGCTGATCTTTATATGGACCATCTGGGGGGGGGTGAAAGCTCTTAATGAATGCCCGCCAGAGTTTCGACTACTGTTCCATGTCCGATTCATTGATGACATTTTTCCCATTATTCCAACGAAATGAAGACGAACTGAAAAGGTTGGAATGATGCGTGAATTACGTGAACGGCTAAGATAAAATGGCTGAATGTGCTTTGCTACCGAAGTGGAAGTTAACCACAGTATATCCTTTCTGGATGTGCTGGTGAAGAGGACGTAAACATTTGAATTTGAGGTTTCCGAAATTTCAGAAACCAACACAATCCAATCGACACCTGGACCGCGCGTCATGTGTTCCTCCTAGATTACTTAGGAATGTAGGGAAGAACATGCACTTGCGAGCCCAAGAGACCCGCGCTAACACTTCAGAATTAAACTCAGAAATCCGACATCTTCATCAAGCGTTCCTAAAGAATGATTACCGAAGGGAAGATCCCTAACGAAGAACTTTTGCACCTTAGCTCAAATTTAAAGATGACTAATTCATGTGGACCAAAGGTAACTTTACCGTTCATACCCCTGGTATCTCTGCGTATCACGAGGTACAGGGTTTTAGGGTCTACTACAAGACTGGCAGAACAATGGGCAACATTTTATTTAAAAAATACATGCCCATTAATAACGCCGAAAAAAAATGTTGTCTACGAAGTTCAGAGTACACACTGCGACAAAGCGTACATTGGAAATACTGACCGGAAAACATCAGGATAAAGGGGCACCTTGCTGCAGTCCGACTTGAACAGTATGACAACATCGGTATTGCCCAACATTCGATCATGGGCACAAGGGCACTCTTACAGTCAGACCAATGTGTCTGTCATCGACAAAAACAATATTAAATGAGGTGTGCGGATAAATGAGTTCTTGTGCATATACTAGCAATAAAAAATCGGATGTGCAATGAATATTCATTTTCTGTGACTATCAGTGAAAACCGGGCCATTCACTGGCTTAGAAATCTTGATACTGACCTATAAAGTTGCTAGTCAATTCCTCCAGCCATATGACAGAAGAAGGGAAAACCGAGGCCAATCGTAAAACTGGGTCAAAATGACAAAGATCCTATTTATTTTAATGCGAATATTATACTCTGTTCAGACAGCTTAACAATGTTTTGATTGTATGTGATGACCGAACTTAAAAGTTGGCATTACTCGCTTGCTAGGCATAAGTGCCTTCAAACAGCATTTGTACTTAGTCTTGCACTGATGATGCTACGGTCTATATAGCGAATCTTATCGGCAATAAACCGTTGCACCATCTGCTGTTTAGTGCAATGAACAATGAATCGTTGAAACACCTGTCTATAAAAAATGATTATAGTGTGCATTTTTCTGACATTTTAATAATTAACTTTGATAACTGCTATAAAACTTTATCGTTAAAACTTTAAAGTTTATCGTAACTTACTAACACTGATAAATATCTGAATTTAATCTCACACAATCGTTGAAATAATAAAATATCTGTAGTTACAACTTTAACAGTCAGAATTCTGAAGCTACGCAGTAATGAATGGAAGAGACAAAAGAAATCTTGGGATAATAATTATTCAGAAAAATTCATTAGCTATATCATAAACCGTAGAAAACGAAATAATATAAAAACAATATTCTAAAATAACGCATCTCATTAAATTCTACCATATCATAAAAACCATAGGGAAAATTAACAAAGATTACTCAACACTTAACATAATATTAAGGTTATAAACATAAAAGTTCTAACAGTTAATGCCTTATTAATCAATTCAAGGGATAACACCACTCTAGACTGGGTCAACAAATTACCATGTAACTAGGGGAAACATTCAGAGAAACAGGGAATACAGTCACTAAAAGAACAAAGGCCTATCTTCCAAGCTAGACAGTATGGATGATTGCGGACGAGCGTGAACGAGACATAGTAACGAAGCACATGGGACGAAAACAAAGCGTCGCTCTCAAACAAGTCAAGGGTTAGTGCGGAAAAACCTTCGAGGTTGTGCAAAACACTAAGATGAAGGACATGCACATGATGTTCAGATTGAACCGGAATCATCAAAGAAAGACAGTGCTCAAAAGGAATGACAAGGAGGCATTAATCACCCAGTCTTGCTACAACGTCAGCCGTGAGAGAGGATACAAATTCTGGGCGGATTTAACGAAGTTTGTCGACTATGTCGCCAAAAAACTATTTAATAAGAACTACGGACCAATAGCTTGTCTTCTCACTTCAGAGAAACAAGCCGCTGCAAATAACAGAATGACTTCCGAAGTCAGTCAACAAATTTCACACCTCAATGAAGGCCGGCGACTGTCAGTGCCGATTAATCCTGTAATTGACCATATTTTTGTTTAGCATAAATAAACCGTGTTTCATGCTACTCTTCAGTGTAACCATGATGACAACAACGAAATACATTCGCAATTACCTTCACTAGCAACGCACCGCGACTGTAATTTTGTTAAAACCTGAAGAAAAGAAACATGAGCTTGGTCGAAATAGTGAATATTGAATGTCCACTGCCTTCGAGGAAAATATCGTTTAAAGTTATGGCCGACTTCAATCAAATAGAAAACTGCTGAAGAAAAAATCTCTGAGCAAAGATATCAGTGACCATAAAGCCACAAAACCGTAAAAAAATCTACATTAACAAATTCAGCTGAATGATGCATAACCAAAATACAAGAAATTTTTATGGAAACTACATCATACAATTGGGGCAGCATAAATGGATAGAAACCAACTAACACTTATTCAAAATTAGAGTTCCAGCACTGCACTGTCCGCCTTTGAACCTTATTATCTTTGCTAAAGTGCCAGTCAGTCGTAATGCGGTCTAAAATCCACGCGGATTACACGCTATTACCCTATCATCTTAATTACGCAATATTATCATCAAGTATTCTGAAAATCATAGTGACTGACTAGCTGCATTACATTTGGCATGCAAAATAAAGCTGACTTACCATACATAGTGCAGAGGTGATGATAAATCTGTGCCAGCTTCTCGCTGTTGGACACCAGAGAGCCTTGGAATTGGCACAAGAGGCACTGAAGCCGGACGGCTTTGAACACCGTGTCTCGTAGGTCATTCTGGATGTTCTCCATTTCTGCCTCGTTTCCGGCCTTCGATTCGTCGGCAGCTTCAGTCAGGCGGCGCGAGCTGTGCACAATTTCTCTGATCACGTTGATGACGTTGTCGAACTTCTCTTCAAAGCCGGATCCAGATTTTGTATCCGCTTTCAAGTTCGCATCTGTTTTCCTACATTCCTCCTCCTCGTACAAGATACCACAGATTTCGTTCAGCTTCGCTTCAGACAACAGTTTGATGTCAGAGAATTTGCGCTCTATTTCCTATAAACGTAGCAGAATATAAAACGACCAGCAAACGGAAGGTGGATTCTTCTGCCATTTAATCCTCAAAGAAAAGTGCGTCCATCGCCATTAAGCAGGATGGCAAACAATACAAGAGAACCGTACTGATACGTCTTCTGATATGCTTTTAAACTCCATATGGCAGCGCTGTTACCTGATATCAATATTTACGGCAAATAAACGTGCATAATAATTCCCATTCATGGGATGGAGAGGATAAACAAAACAGCAGGTTTCGTAACTAAAGCAATGATCATGAAAGCAGATCCATTACAGAATATACTACAATAAGGTATGGTGAAGATGAATGGCTAATGACCGCTGTTTAAAAACAGAAAATAAATGGATAAAACGGCCCCATCCAAATAAAGTATTTTCGAGAAACCAAAAGCTTAGTTCAATATGACGGTCATCGATGAAGAAAGATCCATGATATATGCGGAAAGAAATCTATCAATCAATTCAGGACTTGAGCGTGGGAAATAAAATTCAGTAGTCCGTGTTCTTGTCAAAAAGAACATATGCCAACAGATGTTCACTTCAACCATCATACCCTTGCTCACTTCCCAAAACTGCTACTTGGTCAAGACGAAAAATTTCGAAAAATGAGTAATAAAGGCAAAGAACATTTAACTGATGAAGGAGGAAAAGATTCTAAAAGTAATGCGACGATCGAAGAAGTTTGGATAAAGCAAGGGCCGCACAATACTCACCGACAAACGGCCGTCCACCGACTGCTTCTCCTTGTACAGGGCGTCGTACTGCGCTTCTAGCTGCTTAAGTCGGGTGCCATGTATCTCGCTGAAAAGGTCGCTGCGCTCTTCACAGCTTGAAAGATGGAAGCTGGTCTCCAGCTCCTTCAGGACCGAAGGATCAGTTGCAGCGCTTTCGTCGATACTGACCATGCCGAAGACCGAATTGGCCAGGCTGTTCAAGCTGGACACCATGTGCTCAGAGTTCTTCAACTGGTCCAACTCCTTTTTCATCGCAAGTCGTTGTTCGCGTTCTTGGTGCAGGGAAGTCAACGCCTCTTCGATCTGCTTTTCTGCTATCTGTTTGAGCTTCTCAGACTCCTCCATTTGAAACTGCAAAACCTCCATTTCGGCCATTAGTCGTTCTACTTCGTATTTCATAGAATCCAAATCAAGCTGACCAGATTTCAAAGCCGACACCTTGAATAAAAGAAATTATGATTTTTCGTGGCCTGCTACTTATTACTCTCGGCTATTCACTTACTAATAATTTACATGAACAGAGATTTAAGATTT